TACTTGGTGGGGGTCTGGAATAGCATTGGTCCTCTTGTTAGTGTAATTCTCTCCTTTTCTGTCGTGGCATTGGGGTGATTGCCCAGTTGGAATGAGACAGCCCACAGCATTCTCTCTTCTGCAGAGAGGGTCCAGGGAGTTATGGCAGTGTTTCCCTCCTTACTGTGAGTGATGCCAGGTGAGATCTGTCCGGGTTAGCTGAGGTTGTGCGTGGAAGTCATGGAGCACTTTGGGAGAAGAGCTTTCTCTAGAAACAGTATTGCTGCTGTGGAGTTGTGCTTGCTTTCTTTGTATCTCTTCTGCAGAGGCATTGCTCTGCCCGTGAATAACTAACTTGGCTGCTACATAGTTTTTCTTTTCTGTTTTTTGGATAGAACTTCTCAGGACTTGGCTCTTTGGCAGTTAGATGGTTTCTCTGGACCATTTTAATCAAAATGATTTAAAAAAATTGGGAAAGAATAAGATTTTAAAACAATACAAACAACTGATGGGATTCAGAAGGGGAAATGGGAATGGAGAAGAGGGACAAGGCCTAAGGGCTCTCAGAGTCGGACCATTGCACTAAGATAATCAGTATCATGTTTTATTTATTAAATGGAAACTGTTTCAAACTGTGCTGTCTTTAGGCAGACTTAACTATTCTCAGACAGATGGGATTTAGCTTGTGCCACTTCGGCTCCCGTAGGGAGTATTCTGAAACTTTATGTGGAAAGTTGGCTAGTTCTGACAAATTGATCTTCACATTCACTAGCTTCTCTGCTCTGCAGTCCTAGCTGTGACTCCCATACAGTGTAGTTTAAAGAAAATGTGCAGGTTTTCTGTCTTACCTAGCAAAGTGGGAACGGTGTAGTCTGTTCCAGTTCAGAGTACTTTCACCAGTTCCACTGGTGTTTATGTGCACAAGAAAGGGATTTGGGAGAGGTTCGTCTTGCACACAGGCTCTAGGCAAGCAGACCACTGGTGGGCTTGAGACAGCATCTACAACCCTGAACTTGCCCCAGAGATTATGTTGGTGTTTGCCTGAAGTCTTTTAATTCTCCAAATTACTTTTGCTTTCGGGGATGGGAAGTAGGGTATAGCACCCTGCTTTCATATTTCCTGGTTTTTGTTCCCCAACACTGGCTGTCCTTGCCTGTGAAATTTCTTATCCCTGTTTCTCAGGTCTAGCTTCTTAAATTTAAAGTTTTGGGGATGACCTTTGAACTGACATGAGAAATCATCAAAGGCATTTGTCTGTAGTCCTCATGTGAAGATTATCAATAGCAGCATGAGAATTAACTCTGTGAATATGCTCTTCCTGCCCTGCCCCCTGCCTTGGTTTATTTTTATTTTGTATTTTCTTCTGAGATTTGGGACACAAAACCAATTGTCTCCTACCACAGTACATGTGTTAGCAACACAGTAATTCTACTTTGGTTATGTTAGACTGCCAGAAACATACAAACACGGTTCACTTGGTTCTCTGCTGCTCAGAGACTGGTAATATATTAATTTTGACAATCTCTGAACATTTTTTACAAACATGCATCCAAGACTTTTTTCCCCCTAGATATCATTTTTCTATACTCTCTGTACATATGCTTCTTTCCACCAAGTGCTTTTTCTCTTAATATGGACTTACCATTCAAGATGTAGTTTCTAATTTGTTTATACACATTGGACTTTAATGTATGATGTATGTCCCACTGACTGTTGCACATTAACATTTTGGCTTTATGTAGGAGGACTTTTTCTTCCTGTAACTTGATGTAAGCAACAGTGCAGATTCTTTCATTTTCTATCACATGTTATTTGGTGCCTTAACCATTAGGTTGTCTGTGCTGTACCCCAGATAGCAACTTGAAACTAGTGCAAGAGGAGAGTATTCTTAAAAGTTATGTTTGTTTTCAGATGAATAACCTGAGTGTAAGTTAGGCTGTTTTGAAAGGAAGTACTAATCTTAAGAAGTATTATTTTGTTACCATTTTAATACAACATGTAGCAATGATGTTCATTATTGGGAAATCGAATAGATTGTTTTTGTTTTTGTCATGGGGTTGTATTTCTCTCAGGTCTTCTTGGGACTGTACTTAAGTTGTGTGAAAGAAAGATGGAAATTCTGTTGGGTTTGTCTGTTTGTTGTTCTTTAATCCAATTAAATGTGACTTCTGTATAGATCTGCTTCTGATGAGAAGGGCTTATCTGGCAATCTAATTTCAGTTAAGAAAGCTTTTTTGTAAAGCTGGAGTCATGTGTTATTATCCAGGAAACTAGAATAAGAAGAGCTGTGGTTGGGGCAGTATTAGAGTAAGTAAATGTAATTTGTGTTTCAGTTTTATGGCCTATATTATTTCAGTATCATCAGCTGAGCTTTCATTTATCTTTTGAGTTCATTGATGTTTTTTCCGTGTCTTTTGGCTAAATCACAACTGAAGCAATTTTGATGTTCTGTACTGTTACAAATTGAGATTCTGTTATTTAATGGTACTTATTTGATGTCTAATTTATTTCCAGTTAACGGGTTGTTTTTCAGTATTTTTACTTTGCCTAGTTTAATATATGATACAGTGTTTTTTCTATACTTCAGAATGTTTTTATGCTGCTCTTTAATCAGTATCATAGTGCACTTTGAATCACTGATTCTCTTGTCCGTGTTCAAACATGAATGGCCTAGGATTATTTTTTTAAGTATAATTTTATTTTTTTATCTTTTGTAACCACTAGAGTTGTGGTGAATGAGGTACAGGTGGGTTTTACTTGCTATCTTGTACATGGAAGCAGGGTAACTGTGTTTGATGTTTTGTTCTAGACTAATCTCCCCATGGTGAGATAAATGTCCTCACCCTCTGTCTAGTCAGGTGCATCATGTAGGTATTTGTATCCTGTGTCTTCTTTCCTCAAAGGATGTTTTCCATTATTTGAGTTTGAATTTCTGCTATCTGTTTGTCAATTATTTTTTCATCCTAAATCTAAAACCCCAGCATTTTTTCTTGCAAAATATTATTTTAAATCTTATTAAGTCTTGCATGAAAATGGGTTCAGGCTTTTATAGACTTACTACCATTTTGTTCACTGTAAATGAATGCATAGTCTTGAGAATAAACGGGTTCTGTATTGATTTCTCCCTCTCATCATCATCATGAAGTCTGGTAGAACTCAACTCTGACCTCTACAGAACTGCTGAAGATAGAGCAGTAAGCTTCCAGTAACTTGGACAAAGCAGTGCTTAGGGGAGCTCTAGTGTGTGCCATGAAGGTAGCACTGGGCATTGCATTTGAGGCCACAGATGACACCTCTGTTCATGTTGATCTGCCTTAATAATTAGAAGGGCTGGAATTGTTTCTGCCCAAACTGATTATGCTTGTTTGAGAATGTTTTAGCCCTGGGCAACTGGATGTTTCAGCCTTTCAGTCCATGTGAATGATATTTTGAGCTATTCAGTGAAATATTGTAGTTTTACAATGCAGCTCTTGAGAAGAAGCCAGTTTTTGATGTAGTGGTTTGGTTTCAGGATGCTGTCAAAATAGTCATTGCCAGCATAGCTGTAGCATACGGTCCTTGATTTTGAAAAATACGGAGCAGATTGGCATATTCTAGCAAGGCATTTGGATTATAACATAAAAATACAACTTCATTGCCAACAGTCCTGTAATGTAAAAATGAACCACTTGGCACTAGGAGGGTGATCAGTAAAGTGGAATCAGTGGGCAGCTTGTGGTCTTATAGAATACTTGAGAAAAGAGCAAAGTCTCTTATTCTGGCTGTTTCAGAACTCGTTGCCTGAATTTCTACAATTTTTTCATGCTTGAGTGGCTGACTGGGGGGGACTGAGTACTCCTTGGGGTACTTCTGTACTTGAGGTCAACTCCAGAAGTCTGTTGTAGGAGTTGATGTCTTAGTAAAGACGACCCTTCCTGCAAGGAGGAAAAGGTTTGTCTGCTGTGAACATGGTTCTCCAGAAGTTAATTTACAAGGCTGCTTGGAATCTGGATTTGTTCCCCTTCACCCTTTTAAATCCATCAGATACCTTTTTGTATAGAGGCATTAGAAGTGCAAATGTGAAGGGTCCACTGATTTGTAATTAAAATTACTGTTTTCTGGTGCCTATCACTTAGATATGTTTTCCTTTTTTTCTCTTGGATTGCAAGTGTGTGATTGAAAGGAATTAGATATGAAAGATATGAAAGGAATGTTGCTTTCCTATCTAATTTCTGTAAGCAGTGGTGTCAGATTTGGTAATACAAACATGCTGGTGTCTCTTGTAGGATAATCATGGGTCAGACCGGAAAAAAATCTGAGAAGGGACCAATTTGTTGGAGAAAACGTGTAAAATCAGAATATATGAGACTGAGGCAGCTCAAGAGGTTCCGACGTGCCGATGAAGTAAAGGTACTTTATCTTTTTCTTCTATTGCTTATTAAGTTTTACAAGTATTGATTATTTTCTGTAGTATGTGTCCTACAGTTAACACTTGCTATAACAATTTCATTGAGTACTTTGTCAACCTACTGAGAGCTTGTCTTCACTCTGTGGTCCTATAAACATGTATGATACATTTATATGTGATTGGGTTGAGAATGTTAAGTATCAGAAGAGGTTGTGGAGAGCTAATATGGCAACTTCTTTAGCTGCATACTCTTTCAAATTTAGAATTTAGTTCTATGCTAAATGTGTGACTCTCTAGTTGTGAGAGCATGGTACGAATTGAAGAAAGAGGTAATGAACTATATTGAACTTTGCTGATGTTTAAATTAAATTTATATGTTTTGAGCACTTTTGTCTTAACGTGTCTGGTTAAATGTCAGAATGCCTTAAGATGCTAGCAGATGAATTTAGAGTCTTTAATTTATTTATAATGCTGTGGTTAATTTTTAGAGTATGTTTAATTCTAATCGTCAGAAGATACTGGAAAGAACTGAAATCTTAAATCAAGAATGGAAACAACGTAGGATACAGCCTGTCCACATCATGACTTCTGTGAGCTCATTGCGCGGGACCAGGGAGGTTGGTTAACATGTGTTGTGGTAATTCCACTTACAAGGTTGTTAGCACGTTTTCATTTTATTACTGCAAAGTTGGCTGTTCTTTATATTTTTTTTTTCAGCATGATATGACTTGGCAGCTCAATGTGTTTTGTATGAGTGTCTTAAAGGATTTATTTATTGTGTACTTTGATCATATGACTTCTGCAAAGGAATAAATATGTAGCAGGCTACCTGGCTTTGAATGACACAAAAAAGTGAAACTTCTTTATTTCTGATAATGATTGGACCATACCTCAGCATCCTTTGATGAAGCTATTCTGTCTCTGTGGTACTGGGAGTTTACTCTTGCTCCTCTTGGAGTTAGATTAATGAATTCTTGTGTTGCACAAGCAGACTAGGTGCTAAATTTGGGAAAAATATTTCCATAGTTGCGGCATAATTTGAGCTAAATGCCTAAACCTAAAATGGTTTCCACAGAATTGGTAAGGTTGAAAGGGACCACTGGATGTCATCTAGTGCTGCCTTCCTGGTCAAGCAGGGTCGTCCTAGAGCTTGTTATTCAGGATTGTGTTCTGTGTTGTGGTAACTTCAACAGTGATTTAAGCCCATTCCAGCTCTCTATATTCATCCCAGCTTAATTTACCTTATTTTTAAGTTGCTCTTTAGGCACTTCTTCACACTTAAAAAGTTTAAAGATGTTTGTAATAATCTAAAAAACGAATTCTTTTCAGTAGGATGAGAAAGAAAAGACTTTTCTGTGAATAGGTTAAAAAAAGCAAACCAAAGAACTTCATCTGCAAATAAATTTGCAGTTTCTTTTCCTTAAAATTTCAGTGGAGAACTGGGGAGTGGGAGTGTGTCACAGAGGTGCATTTGTGTGCATGCATGTTCAAATGCAAGGAGGAGAGGACCTTGGTGTGTTATCTTTTAAATGTGCTTGAATATGCAATTGCTCATGTACAGCTCTATAGCTATTGTGTGGGATCAGAACTGATAATAATTGACACAGGTACACATCCAATTTTCACTTTTTTTTTGTTAGTAGAAGATTGTTCCTTTTTCTTTTTTCTTTTCTTTCAAGCGTGGTGTTCACTATTCTTTATGTTAATTTCCTGCCTGTATTGATAGAGCACACTAATTACTACATTCAATCCAGCCTCTGTCTCATGAATCAGAACTCTAATGCTTCATTTAAGGTTACCATAATTTATAGTGAGAGAAGTGAGATGAAAAAATGCTGGGGACTTTAAAATATTACTTTAAAATCTTCTTTTCTTAATATACTGAATTTCTTCAGAGTTGCATAAGACACTGGCTAGAAATAGAAAGGTTGTGTGAGAGCCTTCCTGTGTTTGGTGAAGAGTGCAGGGCATTGCTGGTGACAGTCAACATCAAGTGGAGACCACCACATGCCCTGTGCAGGCCCACCAGACATCAGCCTGAGTTCCATACCAGGACAACAGAGCAGTGTAACTGAGGCTTAGTACCAAACTGAGGCACTTTGACATAGCCCATTTGTCAGCCTGAGACTTCTAGTTCCAAAGATAAAAGTAATTAATTCTTCTACTTTTGTATTTTGCTTTAAAAATACATGAAAAATACGCTAGCTAGAAAATTAAACATTAACCTGAAATGGGAATGAAGCAGTAGCATAGGATGGTGTCTAGAATATTAATATACACAGCAGAAATCTAATTTCATTTGCTGCAGATGAAAAAGAAAAGAAATAAATCTGGCTTGTGTCATTCTGCCGGGGTACTGTCTCTGTATATTGTTTGTTACATTACTTTGTGTATTTCTTTAGAAATGTGAAGCTCTGTTCATCTTTCCCTTCTGGAAAGGAGAAAGATCTTTTGTCTCCACTTCCTTTTTTCCTTTCAGGTAGCTATGATAGCTGTTCTAAACTTTGTTTTACCTACCTCCAAATCTTCTCTGTTGTACTTCCCCAAGCTTTTTCTGTTCCTGTCTGCTTTTACTTGTAACTTTTTTCCCAGAGCTCTTCATACTGCAGTCCAAGTATTTGAGAAAAGTTGATCTATGTTTGTTAGCCGTTGATTATTAGATGCAAGAATAACCTAATTGTCGTCTGTATTTCTATGGATTGTTTATCCTTAGAAGGCTACATAAATCTCTCACTATCCAAAACAGAAGTCCTGTAGCTGAAAAATTCATTGATGTATCCAGAGTTACATACTAAGAATTAATTTTCATTTTTCCTTTGCAAGCAGTGAGCATAATGAAAGACTTGAGGATAGGATAAACAGACAATAATTGGGAAACAAGACAGGAATTAAAAAGACATATGGAGTTTTTATTTATATCATGTGTCTTGCTAGCACTAAAGTAAAATTTTATTTATTTTTATAACATAAATAATACATGATTTCTGCAGTGTATTGATCTGAAGCCCGGGGAATTAACTTGTCCCTCAGATGGTCTGAGTGAATACACTAAGATCAGTGTAGCAAGCAGCAGCAACAGGTACTAAATCTGTTTTGAGATACCAAACCTAATTTGTATTGTAGGTTGAATAGTCTGAGTGAAATACTATCACAGCCACTTAATAATAAGTGGAAGAATGCCGTCATGATCTATTAAGGAGTGTATTGACATAGAAATAATTATTGAGGTTCTTTTCTCTTGCTAAAACCATTTTTCCTATTATGCCTTGAAAAATGGATGTATTTTTCAAAGGTTGTTATGGCTAATTTTGATAAACTCTTTGAATTTTATACATTGTAGAGTGTTCTGTGATTTATTTTTGTTTGGTTTTTTCCTGATGTTGCTATGTAAGTGTAACTTCAACTTCTTATTTCAGTGCTCTGTTACCAGTGACATTGATTTTCCAAAACAAGTCATCCCACTGAAGACTCTCAATGCTGTTGCTTCTGTGCCTATAATGTACTCTTGGTCTCCCCTTCAACAGAATTTTATGGTAAGTTTAAGCAAGTGTAGGGATAAGAAAGATATGGAGAAAAGGAAGGTGTTAATTTTAGAAGTATGCTAGCAAAATCTATTCCCAATTACCCTCCCTACTTGAGGTGTTGCTAATAGGGCAGTAATCATCAGAAATAAGCTCCTCTAAATAAAAAAAATAGAAAGGTAACTTTGCCAATTGAATATCTGTCCTCAATGTACCTAAGTATCTCCAAAATCTTGCTTTAAAGTTTATTTATCTTTGCTGTAAAAAAGTTATTTAATTCAGGTGACCTATTGTCTTTTGTGACCATTAACAAATATGGTTTTATTTGAACGTATCAAATTAGTGTAGTGAGAAATGTTTTCTGAGGGATATGAATGCTTTACTGTAAGGCAGTCAACCAACGTATTTGTAACAGAATAGTAATTATTGTGGAATAAAGGGAACTAAGTCCTGAAATAGTCCCCCCACATCTTGGTCATTCTCATATCTGAGTATGCCCTTTTTTTTTTTCAGATTAATTTCATTGTGTGCAGAAGCCATAGCATTAGATTTCTGATATAGATATTTGACTTTTTGAAAAGCTTAGCTTATTGCAAGTCCTTGTCACACCATTTTGTATGTGACCACCTTTGCTGACTAGTTATTTTGGTAATAATTATGATGAAGTGGTTTAAACAACAGTTTTTTTGTCAGTGTACATACACAGTTTTTTCACACCTTTTTCTCCTTGCGTTCAATTCAATAGTGTTTGGATATTTTGAATGGGTACAGAGTCATGATCAGCAGGAAAATTTATTTTTTTAACAATAGAATGTTCTTTTGTAGTATTGGAAGATGCAGCTGAGTATCAAAGTTCATAAATTCTATTGATTAAACATGGGAGTATTAATGCATTTAGTCTATATGCTGTCAAAAAAAGGGACAGTGGCGTTCAGATTAAATTTTCAGGCATGTTTCTCTGTTTGCTCTTTAGACAACTTTAATTTAGAGTCTTTTTGTACCATATTTTCTTATCTCTGGCCAAACAATGAAGGGGTGGTTCCCATTGTGCTTTCCTACGTTACTGTAAGAGAGAACTGAGAGAGGACAAATGAATTTACTAAATGCAAGCTTCCCAAAGCCAGATAACTTAATGAGTTTCTATATTAGAAACTTCTTGGAAATGCTCTGCTAACCTTAAGATTAGGAGCTAGTGTTAATATTTTGAGCCAGCCACCAAGAATGCAAAAAATTGTTGAAAGTCATTGAGGGTTTTGTTTTGTTTTTCTAGTTAATGGTAAATGTGCTAAAGCAGTGAAGCTAATTTACTGTTGTAGGCAGATTCCTCTAGATAGTGAAAAACAATGCAGAAATGGTCACTTGACAACACAATTTAAAGTGGTTTGATTATCACTATTGTTCCTAGGTAGAGGATGAAACTGTTTTACATAACATTCCATATATGGGAGATGAAGTGCTTGACCAGGATGGTACTTTTATTGAAGAACTGATCAAGAATTATGATGGGAAAGTGCATGGAGACAGAGGTGAGCCCAAACACTCAGGTATACTAATCATTTCTTCCTATATAAATTATTGCTATAGTGTTGCTTAAGGCCTGATGTGTGATTGTTGCAGCAGTTGTAGAGATACTACTGTATTGTGTAAACATTCCTTATTTAAATGTATTGTTCTGCATTTTCTTTAGGCTGAAAAGTTTTGAGCAGTAGTGTGGAGAAAGTAAGCATATTAGCTTTTTCCTTATTCCACACAGTGATTCTTAGTATTCAATTGTGGGCTCAGAGCATTGGAATATGATATTGTGATGTGTGTATGTATCCTGCTTAGCAGAAAGTGGCAGGATGATTATGCAAAACTCTGATAATGGCAACATTTGCAAATGTGATTCGACAGAGTAACCTCTTGTTGGTTTGTGGGGTTTTATTTCCTTCTTTTCTTTAAGGAACTTGCTAGCTATTTAAAAACCCCTTCTCTGTAAATCAGCTTATAGAGCAAAGTTGTATCTTTCTGTTGGTACAGAAGTATTACATGTATTTATTCTGAAGGGTAGTTTATCTGTTCTCCTGTGTGGGAGCGGGGCTACCTGCAGTGTAATATCTGTCCCTCACTTTGCTCAAGTCTCAGTGAAGTGGTGACTTTTCACTTGCTCTGGGCTCCCTCAGAACTGGCTTATACAAGCCTCAGCTTCCCTTGTAGAGCCTTCTCTTGACAACTGTGATTCCCCCTTCTCAGAGATATTACCCACACACTCCACCCTTCTCTCAAACAGAGAGTAACTTCTTAAAATGAATCATATTCCTGTTAATGCTGACGCATTTGAGAAAGGGGACCACACTTTTTGAGTTGATTGTGTATCATTCATGAAGTTAAACCTGTGATTCAATAATAAATGCTACTCAGCCCTACTAGACTTGTTAATGTCCTCAGTATAGCTAGTGCCTTTGTACTTCATAAAAAACATGGAATGTTTCATGGGTTTTGGCCTTTGGATATTTTTAAACGTTTCCTGATTGCTGATTTCCCTTTCAGAACACTGGTTATGTCAAAATGATGGCATTACTACTAAATGTCTTCTATTATTGATTTAATTTATTATTAAAGGAGTTTAGCTTTAAAATTAATCCTATTTGAGCATCCTGAGATGGAAGTTTATGATGGCAATTACTGTTATTATGGGTTCTCCATAATATGTAAAATATATTAGAGGTAAAGGGACTAAAAGAAGTCTCCCAATAACTACTATTGTGTGACTGTAATTAAATGTAAATACTGTGGGAATCTGTAATCCAGAGGCATTCCCATGTAAGAGTCAGAATTCTAAACTAGCTCTGTAATTGCACTTTTGGGAGACAATTTATACTAAGCTGTGTCTGTATATTAAGAGTCTGTTTAAAACATCCGAGTGGTATTTTCATTGTCTTCATAGTAATAAAATTCTTATTTTTTGTCAAGTTATTTTGACATGCAAACCCAGTCCAGGTTCAAAAGGACGGTAATAAGCACTACAGTTCCCACACAGTTCATGTTTGTTGCCTTTTTTTTTTTTTTTTTTTTTGGTAAAAATAGTCTCTTGTCAGCACTAACTGTGATTTTTCCTTTGTACAGAAATGCCTTTATTGTTTAATCTGTTTTGCAATCTGAGTGTCAAAACAGAATATAATCTAATAAATAGATATATGCAGAATATAATCTAATAAATAGATATATAAAATTCAGTTTTCTCTTGATGTTTTTGTATATAAATGTATTCTTTTTTTATCACCCAGTCAGGGGGGGTCTATTGTGGGAAGTAGATGCTAAGGAACAATAAACCAAAAATCTCTCTGGAGATTCCTTAGCTGGCTAAGGATTAGTTTATAGACTGTCAGCATGCATTTCCAGACTGGCTTAACCCTAACCATGTTGGAACTGGGATTCTGGCATAACATCTCTTAAATAATGGAGCTGGTAGTATTTTTTTATCTTACAAGGAAGAGAGCTTTATATATGTACGTAGCACATGGAGTTGGGAAAAAAAATGTGATAATTTTTCTTCTTTCATTCCCTCTTGTTAGTCTAAGGAATGAATAATGAGCTTTTTTTAACTGGTCTTGGTTTATACACTGTTATTTAAGAGGGGAAAACTATGAAATTGTTTTCATAAATGACAGCCTTTGCCTTAGTTTAATTAAAATGTAAGGGAGGATTAAAAATACTTGATATGCACCTTGTGTTTTTTTGTTTATTCCCACTTTTGCTGGATTTCAGAATGTGGATTTATCAATGATGAAATATTTGTTGAGTTGGTCAATGCCCTTGGTCAATATAGTGATGATGAAGATGATGATGATGGAGATGACAATCCTGATGAAAGAGATGACAAGCAAAAAGATCGGGAAGGTAACAGGATGGGTATGTCTATCTGCAGACTTTAGGAATGAAACCCAAACCATTTTGTTTAACCACTCAATAAATTTGTTCAAACCCATCTTCCTATGTGATAGTTTTAAGATCTAAAGTAGCATAATTTTCATGATTTCCTTTGTCATTTAGTTCAAAATTTCTATTGAGAACACCATGAGAGGCACTTTTGCCAATTTTTGTTCATTGACATACTGAGACAGTCACATGCGCCCAAAATCAGTCAGGTATCTGTCTAATAAATGCTTTGGTACTCCTCAGAAAATGATGTATCATTATTCTGAAGCAGGCAGAGTTCTGAATTTCCATCTCCATCTGCTGGTGAAATAATGGTTTCTCCGAATTTTACCAGTAGATTTTTCTCATCAGGAAAGATCACTTAACACAGTTAAAATTGTAAGTGATTTGTAAATAAAAATCTTTATTTCCTTTTTACATTAGAATTTTGGTGAACACCTCCTTCCTCTGAGCACCTTCTTGAGGTAGCAAAGAAGCAGAAATATATTTTTTTTGTTTTCCAAATTTTTTTGCTTCCTTGACAGAGAAAGAAACCCACCCACCTCGGAGATTTCCTTCTGACAAGATATTTGAAGCCATTTCCTCAATGTTTCCAGACAAGGGTACAGCAGAAGAATTGAAAGAGAAGTAAGGATGTATTTCTTACAGTATATTGCTGTATTGCTTTATGAAACAAAGATTCCTCTATAAAATAAATCCTTCAGTAAATATTGGTTGATTAGGAATGGTTCCCCTTGCAGCTAGTTCTGTGGCATTTGTGTAACTTCTGCAAGTGACACTGAAAGAGATTTGGCTCTTTCCCCCAGGTCAAACAATACCGAAGTTTTGTTTATTAGCCTTCCCTTTAAAATATTGAACAGTGGGTGCTTATATGTCTCTAATAATCTGTTATGTTTTGAGGTGGTAAAATAAAAGCTACTGCTAAAAAAAAAATCTTATCTCCATTGTGGATGATACTATGATGATGATACTGTGATGATGATACTACTCCTTTTTAATGATACTATGTATGGGGTTGTGATGGTCTTGAAAACAAATGCATTATTTCCTAGTCAATTTGTATTAATGAGTATGGAATTAATAATTTGTTATGTCACTAACAGATTTGCCTTTTTAGCTGACACATATTTCCTAGGGGCTTTTTGAAGTTGTCATTGAAAATGCAGAGTGGTACTGGAATAAAAAACACTTTTGTTTAAAAAAAATTAGATTCAATAAATAACTTCTATTATTTTGCTTTAAAGATACAAAGAACTCACTGAACAGCAGCTTCCTGGAGCTCTTCCTCCTGAGTGCACACCGAACATAGATGGACCAAATGCTAAATCTGTTCAGAGGGAGCAAAGCCTGCACTCCTTTCACACACTCTTCTGTAGGCGCTGTTTTAAATACGATTGCTTCTTACATCGTAAGTACCATTAAAGTGTGCTCCTAAATGTCTTACCTTTTTTTTGGAAGTCAGGAGACTTAAAAGTATCATAAAATCCCATGCAGAAGGAAGGAAAGAGAAGAAAAAATAAAAGCAGGAATATCCCTAAAGTTTATGAAAACAGCTTGTCCATGTTGACATTATTTTGCAGTGGAAATTATACCTCAGAAAACGGAATGCACCTGTGTGGGTGGTAGTTTATCCTTTCTGCATTTAGGACTTTGTATAGAATTCCTGACTTGGACTGAATCTGTAACATCACTTTTCTTTTTATATAGTCTGCAAGAAAATGTCTTTGTTTTCTACTATTGTTTGTGTTACGCTTTCTCAGTTTGTGCATGGAGAATGGGATGTATTTTTCTATTAAAAAATCCTGGGTATTTATCAGACTTGCTTCATTTTCCACTAGGGAGAGTGAGCACTCATGAACAGTTTTCTCTTTTATTCTGCCATGTTACTTTTTAGCCACATTAGTTGTATTTGGTTATTTAAAGAATTGTTTCAGAGTTGAGTTTTAGAAATTGTGATGTCTTTTTCCCAGAACTGCTTTCATGTTGCCCCATTTTTTTTGGCCAACAAGCTGACAAGAACTTAGCTGTGATGTTGGCTTTCACTTGCAAAGTGTGAAGAGATTCTGAAGTGCTACTTGAGACAGTTTTTCTGGACAGAGCTAAATGTAAAGGGGAAACTAACAGCCAATATGAAGTGATTTCAACTTGTAACAGTAAACTGTCATGCCCTCTATACCAAATTAATTTTTGCTTTTGACTTAGCTGTTCATTTGCATGTTCCACTGTGAGTGCTCATGCATGTTCATTTGGGAATCGTTGTGCTTTGTCAGCAGCTCCTCATCCAGCACACATGCAATCTGCCTGTGTTTGTACTCCACACTGAAGGCTTTGCACAGTGCTGCTGCTTTTTCATATCCCTTGGTTGCCTTTCACTTTGAGGAGGAATTGGAGTTGTTCTCAGATGGTGGGGAGGGGAGAAGCTTTTCACTTTCCTGGTTCCTTTAGTAGTTGAGCATTTTGGAGTTAGGTCTGTTAGTTTCACTTTCTCCTTATATTCTGTTGACAGGCCTTGCTAGAAAATGCAAAATAAAAAATAAAAGGAAACTGTTACTTCTGCCTAATGTTCAAGAACAGTAAGTTTCTGGAGTAAGCTGCTGCCTTGACCAGCCAGCTTCAACACAGTGTGTTCTGCAAAGCTGTAGGTCTTGTGATGTCTTAGTTGCCTGGACACTGATTCCAAGTGCTGTGTGTAGTCTGTAGGACAGGGCAGTGAAGCTGTGTGCTGATTGTTGGCAGTTTGTCTGGCAGGAGTTTTAGGAGTTCTTGACACTCTCAATAGTCTAGCAGAGAGCTTGGGTGCCAATTTTGATTAAATCAACAAAAAAGCATTGTCTGGACATAGTGAGGACAGGCTTACTCTAGCAGCACCTCTGAAGACTTCAGATGTTTCTGCTGCAGTGATTTTAGGCATTTTTCTCAATGATTTTATAAACTTCTAATTTTTCAGTGGAGATGGTTGCTCCTCTAAAACACACATATATTTCACTACTCTATTTCGTTAGCCTATGTAGATTTGCCTTTCATGGTCATTTTTGCAGACTGATAGAAGTACAGCTGAAAGGTTTTGCTGACTACCTGTTGGGTACCTGCTATTTTACCAGACCACAGTTTTGAGGCACCAATTCTGAGAGACTTTTTTTTAATGAAAGTGCTGTGAAGAATGGGTTCACAATCTTGTACTTTTTGTCAAGTTCTTGGGTGAGAATGTCCACAGCCGTGTCACTGATTGAAGGACCTCAGCTCTCATATCAGCTGCATCCTTTAAGCCAGAAGCCCTGTGCCTTCTTTCTCTGTGTTCATAATCTTGAGATAGAAGACAAAGTGTTTATATTAAAATATTGCTTAAGTTCTTGTTGCTGGTGGCTTTTGATTTGATATGTCCCTTAAGCAAGTTGCTGTTCTTTCCAAAGTGGTGTATGTCCAAGACTTTATCTAAACTGTGCTTCCTACTTAAAAGAGCCCAAAGCTTAAATCATCCCTTCAGGATTTCAGGGCCATGACAGAAAGAGGAATGCATAGCACTTTCACTGTGGAAGCATTTAGGACTTATCTTTGCGTCAAGTGGAGGGTGCAATGAGTGGCTATGATAGTGCTCTTTGTGACAGCCTGTGCAGCTCTTCAGTTGTCCCTGATGATGATGTAGCAGTTGTCCCTGATGTTGATGTGTTTGCTACATAACCACTGCAAGGAGATCTCTGACCTTCGCTGTGTAGGCTCAGCGCTGTACCCTGAATGTCGTAAACTGATGCTTCAGTTGCCACTCCCTGAAAACATACCCAAATTCCACTGCAACAATGACTGCTCACTGCTTTGGATGCATTGCTTCCTTTTCCTTTTGTTTGTAGTTACACCAAGGAAAGAGGATTGTTTTCTGTCTGCGTGTCTGTCTGTCTGTGTGTCTGTCTGGAGCACGGAATTTTTTTGTTAAAAACTGAGAGAGTCAGTTGTTTGGCCTCTTTGTTTTCTGTGAAATTTTGAGACTGTTGGTCAAAATTCACCCAGCTCATAGCTTGGAATAAGTAACTCATCAAAAAAAAAAAATTAAAAAGAATGCTTTGGTTATTGGAAGGCTGCAGTAGCAATTTTCGGTGTCTCTGCAACAATTTAACTTCTATCACATTTCTACAGTTGCCTCTATGTTCAGTTTCCTGCACTTGCCAAGTGCTGTGGGATGATGTCCTGGCTTCTGCAGATGACATTTTTGATGAATTACTTTGGTAATGTGATGGGCTACAGTGATCACATTGGTGCTTTGAAAGGTGTAAATCTCTTCTCTGGAGAAGGAATAGAGAACTAAAAGATAATAAAGGAATTCTATTAGGTCTGCTTTTGCTTTTTGTATTTCCCCCTCTTAGGTTCCATTTTTGTTAAGATTAGTTAACAATTAGTTATTTTGTGGAGTTTCCAATCTTTGTTCTAGAGCATTTGAGTTAAATATAGGAAAAGTTATCATTAGATTTTTAACGTGTCAAGTCCCCTTGACGACCTGGCAATCCCTTTATGTGCAGGTGATGACATAACTGAAAAAACTTGTGTACTTGTGGACTTCATTTGCTGACAGCAAGGAATTATGCCTAAATGTCTGGACTAACAAAGAATTTAGAAGAAGGAAAAATATCAGGTAGGGAGAATTTCCCAAATAGCTTGACTATGAAGCAAATGTACATTTCAGGCTAAACTGTTGACTATGAAGCAAATGTACATTTCAGGCTAAACTGTTGCCTGTGTACTTTCACATTATTGAAAATGAGAGTTGAGCCTATTGGGGATGAGACAGATAATAAATCTCAAAGACAGAAAACATGCTCAGAGGCACCATTTTAGAATGATTTCTCTTAAGGAAATCATTAAAGAATTACAGACTTTAGGTGTTAGTAAATTCTACAAAATTTTCTGTGATTTTTCTTCTGAAAAAGATTACTACTGATATTTTAAAAAATCATAATGCAGTGATACAAATAGTTTTATTCTTGTTCTGCATCCTTTCTTTATAACAACCCTCCCAAAAAATACCTCACACTAGAGGTGGTAGATTTTGACTGTAGTTGTCCTTACTGTACCATGTTGGGTGTTTTTTAAATAGTTGAACAAAGATATGATTCTAATTTTAAGTATCATATGTAGTCTATTTTTGAGGTCTCATGAGTTTAAAAATAAAAAATAAAAATAAAGGTTGGTTTGTTTCATTCTATTACAAGTTAAGCATTTCTTCATTTTCTGAAGGAAAACAGTTTTTAACTGTTTAAACCACTATTTTAGGACCTTGCACAAATTAGTTTGTGAGAGAAATGATTGCATCTGCAAGTGACATGTAAAAAGAATAGATTTGATTTCTCTACATTGCAGCAGTCTGGTATAGATCATGGCTAGCAAATGTCTAAGTGTTCTTTTGCATTGCTGAAAAATTATTTTCCTTGTGGTATGAAGAGAAGGTAAAACAGTTAAGTGGAAAAAAATCTTGAATGAAATGGTATACTGTGCAAATTTAAAGATGCAGTGTTGAAAAACATGAGAGTTTTCCCCTTCACTTTTGGGTAAATGGCTCCCATCATCTCATTGTTTCTTAAAAGATGGAAAAAAGTGAAACAACTTGGCATTAAATTGCATGGTTTCTTGTTGCTGTAACAAAGTGTAACATATTTTACCTACAGAATACATGAACACTTGAAGGATATGTGAAACATGAGAAGTGACATGGCAATGAAAGCTTTTAACTAATCTGGAGGAAGAAAGAGCACTAATGGCAACAATATACATAAATTACATTCCTATACTTGTTGTAAATAATTTTCCCATATCAATATGCCCATATATAGCAAATTAAAGCTTTTTTGTGTTTCCAGATTTATAAAATATAACATATTTGTCTGGAGAATGGGATGCAATATTTACTTATTGTTACTTTTATTTTATTTGTACCATTTTAAGAAAGCCTTGAAAGAGTACACTGCTTTCCTTGGGCTCCCACCTGCTGCTATCATTAATACAGGCACAATATTATAGAAATTATTATTTGATTTTTCAACTCACCCCCCTTTATGGGAGGGAAACGTGAAGTGTTTCCAAAGTTCCAAGATGGACCTGGTCACCTTTCCCCCTGCTGCCAAAGCAGGTGTTTGCAGAGCTATGCTGCACACCAGACCACTGAAATGAAGTTTGCTTTTGATAGCCTTGTCTGGGAAGACATGAGCTCTGCCCACATGCTTTAACAGGGATGGAAGTGCATTTAAAAAGTTGAGTCTTTGAAGCTTAGTGGGCATACAGAGAGAAGCCTCCAGCGTGATCTGGAAATAAAATGAATAGCAAATGGCTTAATGAAGGAGATGTGTGCAGTGGTGGTGTAGAACAGCCCTTTTAGATTAATATGGGGAGGAGGGGAGGGATTTCTTCTTTAATTTTGAACATATTTGCACTTTTTATTCACTGAATTTTTATAACCTTCACTGTAAGTTACAGTTACCCAACTGCAGATGCTGTAAAACCGCACCATAAGTGCTTCTGCACAGTTTGGAAATTGCACGTTTTAAGTTGAGCATCTTTTCTGGGCCTTTGTGGAGCATTAGCAAACAGCTAGCACTGAGTATTCTCTTCTTTTTAAAATTTCAGTCCATTCTTCATTTCTGTTCCTTGCAGTTCTGTATGCCACTGTTTACACATTTAGAAGGAAAAAGTATTGATATCTATCTCTCTCTCCCTCTCTCTCTCTCTCTGAAAATCAAAGTATTTTTTCTTTGAGCACAGACAAGTTGTTTTTAAAAAGACAATTGCAGAAAACTAATGATAGTATCTCAAAAAGCTCCTAATACAATGTGGGAGCATGAATGTATGAGTTTTGGTGAGAGTCTAGTGGCAGGTTTTCCAGGCTTCAGAAGAGCTCTGTAAGAGGTACAGAGAAGCTCCCAAGACTTCCAGAAAGCTGTGAGAAGTCAGTCTCCCTGAAAACACCCTGCTGGGAAACAGGGGTTGCCTGTGAGGAGAGCTGGCTCTGGCAAAGAGAGTGGGTAGGAAACTGCCCTCCTGTTACCGAGGTGCTCGTGTTGCATGTGTAACATACCCAGCTCTGCTTCCCTCTGAGTCACTGTTCTGCAGCTTTTTCAGAGCTGTGCAGAGTCCCTCAGATACAGGAGCAGACACTTCTCTGCAAGGTGCAGACTTGGCTCACTTATCCAGTGACTGTGCAATGCTAACTTGTTTTTACCCTGCAGCTGGGATACAGGAACTGAATTCTTACATCCTGCCAGCTTAGCTGGAGTGCTGACAAACTAATAGAGCAAAAATGCTTATGTGTCCTTCTCACTGATGAAAATGTAAAGTGGGTCCTATTACCTTTCCAAAGGGTGCATGAGGTTGGATTTTTTGACAAGATAGAAATATAACAACTGAATTTTACACATTGAAGTGATGATCATTAATAGGAGAAGCCCTGAATAATTTTGTTTAACATAACAACAAAGTAAAGTCTGTTCTTTTGTTGGAAAGGGTGTTACACCAAATCTTCCTTGATACATGAAACAAATGTGATGACTGTGTTGATGAAAAGGGCAGAATGGCTTTCAAGTGGAAGAGGATAGATTTGCATTTGATGTAAGGAAGACATTCTTCACCATGAGAGAAGTGAGACAGTGGAACTGGTTGCCCAGAGAAGCTGTGGCTGCCTCATCCCTGACAATGTTCAAGGCTAGGCTAGATGGGGTTTAATCAGCCTGGTCTAGTGAAAAGTGTCCCTGCCCATGGCAGAGAGGAGTTGATTTTTGAGGTCCCTTCCAACCCAAACTATTCCATGATATGTGAAACTTACCTGTGTGCTGTCTCTGTGTATTTAAGTGGTAAGTCATATGTCACTACAGGGGATTTCTTTTATTATTTATTTGTTTGTTTATTCTCTTTATTAGTATTTTATTCTGGTTTTAGTAAAATCTTGGTAACCTTGTGTTTTGGATAGAGTTTGAGGTTACATATTTAATATATTTTATATGAGAACTAAAAAATGTGATGTTTTGATTCAACAGCATTCCATGCAACTCCCAATACTTATAAGCGAAAGAATACAGAAACAGCATTAGATAATAAGCCTTGTGGACCTCACTGTTATCAGCATCTGGTAAGATAATTTTATATGTCACAATTCACTGAGTGCTAGTGCTGGCTGCAGTATAGGGGGATACTTAAACTAAGGGCATGCTGGATCTGGGATAGTGCATCTGCTTGTGGGCCATTTGCAGTCAAGTATGTTACCTTCAGCTGCTGCAAGAGAAAGAGTTTAACTTTCAATCATCTTAAGTAGGTATACTTGTAGGTGTAGCCTGAGATATTTGTAGGGAAGAAATATTACTATCCCCTAATAATGGTGTTGCTGCTATTCTGTCCAGTCTAGTCAAGGAACTGCAGCCTTCACTCTTGTAAATTGTATCACAACTAAAAATTATAAAGGTTTTTTTAGTCTGCCAAAGGCTAATTTCCTTTCGGGACTTGTGCTTTTAAGAAGCAATAGGATGGAAATTAATAAAGTGAAATCTTTAGTAATATAATTTCAAATCTCTCTCATAATTCCCCTAAATGTTTTCGTTTGAGAAACTATGCAATTTTCCCATCTGAAAACTTGCTACACTTTATCATACCCCTTTTCACCAGAAAGCAAGTTATGAATGCTTGCATTTTAAAAAATGCAGAGCACATATTGTTGAAGTGCCATGTGCAAGAAGAGTTGTTGTGTTTTTATGGGTGTTTTCTGTGGGAAATTCAAATTTATTCCTGTCATCTGGGAAAATAGAAATTTACTACTGAATTATTTTTCTCTTGGCAGCCAAAGTAACAGGTGAACCGAAATACTGACATGAGTACTTTGTAAGTGTAGATGTTTTTCATAGTAGCATCAGAGTACTCGTGTTCATGGCTGGTGTGCCTTTAACTGGAACTTTGGTGCACATAGAACAGTGGGAAGTTCCTCAGGATGCAAGCAGGAGGTGTTCTCTCACAAGTGGAACCACTTCTGGGTTTCTGTGCTGTAAACTGTGCTGTTGTGTGTCCAGGAGGGTGCGAAGGAGTTTGCGGCCGCGCTGACGGCGGAGCGCATCAAGACGCCGCCGAAGCGCCCCGGCGGGCGGCGGCGGGGCCGGCTGCCCAACAACACCAGCAGGCCCAGCACGCCCACCATCAACGTGCTGGAGTCCAAGGACACCGACAGCGACCGCGAGGCCGGCACTGAAACCGGCGGGGAGAACAACGACAAGGAGGAGGAAGAAAAGAAAGATGAAACTTCCAGTTCCTCTGGTAAGGCTGGTCAGTGCTGCTTCCTTCAATGAGCTGTGGTGCTTGAGAGGGTGAACAGAACCAAAACTACAAAAAAACCAATGCTACAAAAATAACAAAGCCAAAACAAGTCAAACTGCAATCCTAGAAAATGTGTGTTTGGAATGTATGGAACTGAGTGAAAAGACAGAATAATAATGAGTGTCTTGGCTTGGAAAGACAGGTGCCTGCTAAGGAAGGCAGGAGCCTCCCCTGAAATGGAGAAAATGAACCCCCCCCCTCCTCCAAATTGCTATAAAGTTTAATTTAAGAGTCTCTCAGTCAACAAAAATTATGGGAGCAGGAAATAACAGTTCTTTAATAGGGAAGAAAATAAAAGGATAAAATAAACAATGCTGTAAAACCAAAACAACACTGATAGAGTCAGAAACAAAACCTGACACCCTGTTGGTCAGGGTGCTGGTAGCAGTCCAATTGGAATTGTGGCTGCAATCCTCCTGGAGTGTCAGGTGTGGTTCTGTTGGAGCAGGGATCCTGTAGAAAGGGTGTAGTTTTCCTCTGAAGATCCAGTGGAAGTAAAGTCAGCTGCTATTCCTCTGGGAAATCCAATGGAGAAGCCGTGCAGTTATTCCAGAATCTCCAGATTATATCCAGGTAGGAATGCTTGGCTCCTCCATCTGGGCAGAGCATCTCACAATGGGATGCTGTAGTTCTTATCAGCCATGCAGTGACATTCAGTAGCCTGTTATCAGCACATGTCCCCTCCCCAGGGAGGAGTGATTGTGGTCACTGAGAGAGAGATAAGGCAAACTGCCCACCTGACAAAAGACAGCTGCCATACAGATGGTAATGGAATACATCTTGCCTTGCAATCTGGAACAATGAGTTCAGTCAAACTCTAAGAGAATGTCTGCATTGTTTCAATTTACATGTAGGCCATTAATGTGAGTAGCTGCTGTTAGCTTCTGTAAAAGGCGTGTGAAAATGTTTGTTTTTTCTGGCACTTGGGAAGCAACAAAAAACCTGAGATGTTTTTTAACTGCAGTTAATCTTAATGTGAAGGGCAAAGTAAATTTTGATACAGAGCCTTACTCTCAATTATTTGTTACAGAAGCAAATTCTAGGTGTCAAACACCAATAAAGATGAAGCCAAATATTGAGCCTCCAGAGAATGTGGAATGGAGTGGTGCAGAAGCTTCAATGTTTAGAGTCCTTATTGGCACCTACTATGACAACTTCTGTGCAATTGCCAGATTGATTGGGACCAAAACGTGCAGACAGGTAAGCAGGGAAGATACTTGCTAAGGGTCAAAGTGATTTACTTTTAAAGCTAAAGTATACAAATACTAGTATTGATTACTAAAAGGGAAAATAATTAATTTTCTTGGTTTTCCCAAGAATGCTATGGTCCAGAATTCATACCACAAATACATAGAAGTTAGTTTTAAAACTGTTTTAAAATTAAATTTACAGGAGGTTTAAATTAGAGTATCAGTTCTTAAATGACAAAAATAATCAACTTTAAATGTATTGAAAAGAGACTATGACTGGATATAATCTCTAAGTTGTTGGTTGGAGGAAATCATACTAACTTAGAATATGAGCAACTTTGTACTAGTGAGAGATTTATCGTGGATGTGTTATGGTATCTCTTGTTAGGTGTATGAGTTTAGAGTAAAGGAATCTAGTATTATTGCACCAGTCCCTGCTGAAGATGTTGATACTCCTCCCAGAAAGAAGAAAAGGAAACACAGGTAAATCTGTTACTAAATACCCTTAGCATAACAATAAATTGGAGATACAGGGGATCAGAACAGAAAGTATTTTGAAAGAAAAGTTGTGCAACTCTTCTTTTGCTTCCAAAATCAAAAGTTGCAGCAATAAAACAAAATGGTGTTTTAGTTTTAGACAAAATCTTACTGCACTGCCAACTATAACCTTCCTCTTCTCTTTCCCTTTCCTTTTTTTAAGTTCTTTAACAGCCAGGTTCTTGTAGGTGTATTGATGGAAGTAGTCAGAACTGTTTAGATTAGAAGTCACCTATGCAGCTTGTTGCAACATTCAAGGTAGTGTAGAATAATTATTTTTTACAACAATAAACATTAAATTCAGGAGTGTTTCAATAGGATTGAGTAATGATTATATCATACTTTAAAATTAAAACTGATGCTTTTTTAATGATGAAATGTATTCTAGCAAGCTTCAGATAGCAAGTTAGTAGGATTGCCTTCTTTTTCTTTAGGAGGGACTATTCCTTTGTTGCACCCCAGTTTCATTAGCACCTAGAACACCAACTAAAGAGCTAGGTTAACAAGTTATTAGTTGAGGTGAAGCTGCAATGAAGAACAAATGATTATCTGACACAATTTCTGTTGAAATTGCAAAACATTGTGGCTGCTGTCTGTCAATGAAATGCATTTTTCTTTTAGAATTCTGAATTGGAGAATGCAGCTCTGCATTGATTATTTTTATTTTGAGAGATAAGAACATAAGAGATTAAAAGCTGACTGAAAATTAGCAAAAACATTTCTTTAGCAAGCAATAAATACACATTTTCCCATATAATTTCCTATTTCTCCCTTTAACTTCCCTTATTCTCCCTCAAGTTTGTCCTTCCTCCCTCAAGAACTCCCTCAAGTTCTTCGTCCCATCAGTTCTTGTTGTTTCTGTCTTAGCTTGTCTATTTATTATTTCCAGGCCTAGTGAAATTCCTGAACTGGTTCAAAGATCCTGTTGACGTGGAGTAGAATATTTCTGCTTTGTAGGGTAGAGGCAGGCAACGTGAGCTGGGAAAAGACTGAATGAGCATCTGGAAAAGATTTTGTTCTCAGCAAAAGCTATTGATTTTAATGCTCTTGGCACAGTTTTCAAGTGTTTGGGCATTTGGTGGGCTTGGCTGTTTAAATTTAGGTTATTAGCCATGGTGCAAGTTTGGAATATGTAGTTGAAAATTAGCTTGCTGTCAGATTGACACAAATTGCTATAAAAATGGTGCCACTACATCTACTTAAAAGAACAGCTAAAAGGTTCAAATGTATTTTTGCAGCTGAAATGGATTATATGATTACCAGGCTGACATTGTTTTGGAAGAATTTTCAGACTTTTTAGTTTAGGAGTTTTTTTCCCCAAGTAAATGAAAGCACACTCCATTGCATGGGGTTTCTTGACTTTATTTGCTTTTTTTATTAGTTGCCAATATAAAAACTTTATTGGTAGCAATTTAGTTTTGAAATGTCCTTTAAGTCTTTAAACTCTCATTGAAGGAAGGAGATAATTTTACAAATATAATGTCCCAGAATATATGGCAATCAAGCTGTCTCCATTCTTCTATGGCAGTAGCCTTTTTAAAAAGGAAAGCAGTTTAGCCTGCCTACATCCTGCTGTTGAAGTTCTCCTGCAATCAGCAATTGGGAAAACCATCTGGAAATCTTCCTCTGTTTCTTACCTTTCCTTTAGTTGAGTTTACTCACTCTTAGAGTAAATCCAGTCCTAGAGCCAGGAAGGCTTTTCCCTTTTCCCTTTTCCCTTGCAGGGCTCTTACCTGTCTGCAGGTTGTCCATGTGTGCATGTGGCTTTGAGCTAAAGCAGCATCACCAGAGAGAAAAGCAGCAGCAAAAAGCTGCTTTTGCTGGCCTCTTGTAACCGATTTGAGAGCAGATAAAGTCTTTTCTTGCATGACTTTGCCTATTTCCCATATCATCTTGGTGCTCTATGAGCATACTGAGCAACTAGCTGGCAAGACAGCACCCCTCTTGGATAATGAAATGTCTTGTCTCCCTTCTTCCTGTGACATTTTTGTTGAGATAGCTGTAATAAGGCTGATCAGTGGGAGAAGGCAACTTCTAATATAGTTATTTTTTGGAGAACCAGTAAGTGTCAGAGCCTGGCATGTGTATCAGATTAACGTGTTATTTTCAGAAAACTCTGCCTTGATGAGAAATGAGTACTTTGCATAGAAGCCAGTAAAAAACCTGAATGAAGAAAGAATTCTGAAAAGCATGGGTGTATGCTGGAGGAGAGTGTACTTCAGTACTGTTCATTCTTTTATGTGTATATTTTTCTTCCATTGCTGGGAGCTGAGTTGAGTTTGCTTTAACTAATCAGCACTCCTTCCTCTATTTTGGTACTGATTTTAAAGCTGCTTCTTTATTATTTTGTTTTTCCTCTTCTCCCTCATCCCCTATTCAGAGGCCACTTAGTAATTTTATGTGAAAATATTTTATTTTTTCCCCCCCACTTTCTCATATTCCTTCTCCTTCTGCTGGACTGCTGTTCACTGCATGTGTTTGAATAGCTTATGTAGTTCTGCCAAGAGATCAGGATGCCTTTTTGTAGGGATTTAAAGTCTCACTGTTAGCAGGCAAAAGGTGCACTGAGGCATTGGCACAGATATTCTGATGTGCTGCCTGGTTGGAAGGCTGAGTCTTGGAGTGGTGGGGAGGCTGTGGATAAGGTGATCTTGGAGACTGAAGTCTTTGAGTGATGCCAGAAAATCAAACACTGCAAAGACTTAATGACATATTTGACATAATTGGCATGTATTTTGAGTTTTTAGTGCACTTTCTGATAGCAGAATATCCCTGCGTAAAGCAAGAAATGCTGGAGCAGCTTCTTCCAAAGGGTGCTTTTAGTGCTGGCTTGGCTGACACTGCTGCTGCCCAGAGGCACTGGCAAAGTTTAGAGGTCTAGTAGGTTGTTAGGAGAGAAGAATGATATCTTTGACAGCTGCTGTCATGATGCTTCTGGAAACACTTGTTTTCCAAGCTGGCTCTCCTGCAGATGTTAGCAACCAAATGCACAAATCCACTGGCTTGCTTGGGAACTTGCTATGGAGTTTCCAGTTGGCTTTTTGTAATGAAGCTTCAAGTTGTGAGTGCTTTCTCAACGTTGTCCTTTCCTTGCCTTTGCTTCCTGCTGCATGGGACCAGGCCTTGCCTTTTGCTTCTGTTTGAGATGCCGATTTATATAGAGCAGATACAAAAATGACTCAGCCTTTAGTGTAGTGCTTGCTCAGGCTCCAGCTTTGTGCACAAACCGGGGGAACTTGAGCGCTTTGTGGCAGTGTTTTGGAAGTTACAAGGCAGTGAATACTCTTGGTAGTGCCAGTCCAAACTCCTGTTGGTCAGTGCTGGCAGCCTGTTGTCTTGTGTCACTGCCCACAGTTCCTGCTGCCACCGTGTCTCCAGCCCCCCTCTCCCTCCTGTGACAGAAGTCTCTCCAGAAGAAGGGCAGAGCACATGGATGCCTTTGCCATTGTGACTGCCCCTGCAGTTTTCCTTCTGCTTTGACTTGTTACTATTAATGCTTTCTTGATGTGTATGCACATTTGTGTGCTTTTAAAGTATTAGGAGAGTGCTTACCTTAGGAGAAAAAGTGAAGCTGCTAATTGCTAATGAAAGAGTATTTTAACAAGTCTGGCCACAGAATGCTTTTAAGAGTTTGCTGTGCTGGTAGGTTCTATTATCTTGCAGCAACAGACAAGTTTCTGTGAAAGACTTGTTCAAAAATATAGTATGTTACATTTTCCAAATACCAGGTAGAAAAGAAAGAAAGTAGTTTGGTGTGCATAAGAGTAATTTAAGTCAAAATTGCACTCCTTTCAGGCATATGGGAAGTGTCCTCTTGCAGAGTCAATGTCTCATAATTCATAAATATGTTGGTAGCCTTTTCTTCTAGAGTGAATCACTCTTAATAGGAATGTCATCTATTTATTACAGTACTCTGTAATTCTGAGTTTCTTCTTCCCTCTCAGCCTTAGTTACTTGGACAAGTCTGTCTTTGTGGGTTTCTAACTTGTATGGGCTCCTTAAGAAAATTGGTTATTGAGTTAAATCTCATAGTAATGCTTTAGAAGGGCAATTTTATAGAGAATCTTATTTATATTAAGCCGTTGGAGGGCTCTGCACACCATTTAGTTGAAGTAAAAGCTGCTATGCTTTTATGAAAGAAGTAGCAGCTAAAAAGTCCTATTTAAGTAGTTACAGCGGGAGATATTTTTTCAGAGTGCAAACTTCTGAGGAGTGTTGCATTCACTGAAAGGCAGAATAGCTTTTACAGGGTTCTGTGCTGGGGATCTTTTAGTACCTGTGCTCATGAGTGTTTTGGGCAGCTCGGTAAATCTGCAGAGAAAGTGAGGTTGCTTGAGGCAGCTGGCAATGTATTATTTGGCCAGGGAATGAGGCTTCTTCCATATTGTCTTCATGTTGTTACATGATATACTAAGGAAGTCCAAGAAGTATAGACTTTAAAAATCCTTACTCTAATTTTTTTGTTATGTGTGTTCACTAAAATAAAAGTCGTAACTAAAATGCATAGAATTGAGTTAAAAATAAAACAATGGATTTCTCCTTTAATTTTAAGGCTACTGCAATGAAAAGTCTGGTTTTCCTTTTGGTACTAAAGGTCCAGACAGGTGCTTTTGCTTGTTTCTGACACACTGTTTATGGAATAGCTGAGATTCCCTGGCCAAAGAGCTTACAATCTGAAATGGATACAAGATAAAGGGGTAAATGTAACTTGCAAGAACTTTCAAGTACAGTGAATGCTAACCAAAAAGCATGTTACTCTTGAAAAACACAACAAAGAACTAACACAAACAATAAAATCCACCACACAACAAGAACTGGCAATGGATGTGAGAAAGGGGAGCTACCTGAGAAAGGGGACACTGAAGGAAAACTGTAGGGACATAAGAGAAAGGAGTGTGGGCTGTGAGGCAGGAAGGGGAAAGGCTCAGTGCAGCACCACCAGCCAGGACAGCTGGGGAAAAATGTCCAGCCAGAAGAAATACTGAGGTGTCCCTTCAGTGTGGCTGTGCCAGGCAGGCACTGTGTCCTGTCAGGTACTTGGAGCCCCTCAGGTGAAGGGCAGGACCTGGCTGTGGTCTGTGGGGGACAACCAGAGTGGTGCTGGGGCCAAGCCCTGTGCAGCTGCCCCATTTCTGTGCCCCTGTTCAGGCATGACCCTCCACATCTGTACCTTCGTACCCTTCCCTCGCTGCTGCTCCTGCCTGCCAGAAGCAGCTGCAGCACCTGCTCTTGGCAGGACTTCCTTCAGGGGCAGCTGAGTTCCAGCATCCCTGGCTGGGCTGGGTGGGAACAGCTCCTCTGTGCAGTGCTGGGACTGCAGGAATGGTGGGGAGAGGGGGGAGCAGCCTGCAGAGCTCTGATCTTGGCCAGCCCTAGACCAGGACAGGGTGGCTCTGCTGCAGCCGCTCCGACTCGTGTGCACTTAGCAGCTGTTCATGTCTCCAGAAACTTTCCCATCTTTAGCAAGATGCAGCTGCCTTTCCCAGCCCACTGCAGGAGGAGTTCCTGTCAACCTTCTTGTTTGTTTTGTGTTTTTGCAGGTTGTGGGCTGCTCATTGCAGAAAGATACAGCTGAAAAAGGGTTAGCATCTTTCCATTCAATTTATGTCCTGAACTTTTAAGATTCTACTATTGCTTTTTTCTGTTTTGGTTGTTTGTGGGGGGGCCTGGTTATTTGTTTTGGTTTTTTTAATGTTAGGCCATTATGTATATTCCATGGGGAGCCAGAAATTTTAGGAGAATGAAAATTAAAAACGTAAACTCTCACTTACATGTATTGTAGGGACAAAAGGTACTCTTTGGGTTAAATAGCTTTATATAATTCCATAAAAAGGAAAGGAAGCTGAGTTTACTGTCTTTTCAGTATGGCTTCATTGAAGCACAGGTAAAAATGGTATTAAGGATAGGAGCTGCAGTAAAAAGTGCCTTTTTTTTGTAAGCTAGTTTAATTTAGAAATAGTTCTCTGAAAAGTTGTTGAGAATAGTTGGGACTTCTGGCAACATAAATAATTGATCTGTTTGTCTCTCTCATTTTTTGTTGCTGATTGCTAGCTTGAGCATTTTTATAAATTTACAAATTCATGCAAACCCAAAACAAGCTCAAGAGTATTAATAGCAAAAATAATTTATATAGAACCAAATTCTCCTAGCTACTGGATAGGTAAAGCTCTAGACTTGTCCCTGGTAGTTCCTTTGTTGCTTAGAAGACTTCAGCATTGTCTGTACTGGAAAATTGACTTGGGAAAACACAGTGGTATAGTAATAATAATAATAATAATAATAATAATAATAATAATAATAATAATAATAATAATAATAATAATAATGGAATTACATTGCCAGTGGTACCTGTTTGGAAGTTGACTATTGTTCCACATTAAAAATTGCTTTCAGTATTTAAGCAAATTTACTTTGCTGAATAATATCAGTGCTATTCCAAAACATGTTCAGACAGGAAATGATACCATTGTAGTTTCGTTTCTCAGTTTTCCACATAAACAGCTTTCAGCTCTCAATACTCACAGCAGCTGAGCAGTGGCAAAATGAGGTGCACTAGGAAGGCAGCTAATGGTGTAAAACACCTCACTAATGTTACAGTTCTGGTTTTATGTCTTTTGGGTTTTCAACCCCACTTGTTGTGGGTTTGGGTTTTTTGTTCATGTTTGGGCTTTCTTAGTTAAATGACTAAAAGGGAATTTCTGCCTTAAAGTGAGGGGAACTGTATGTTGTTTGTCTGCAACTTTCAACTTTACAAAATGTTGCTATTTTTATTCAGATGGGTCATCGAATCACGTTTACAACTATCAGCCATGTGATCACCCACGTCAGCCTTGTGATAGCTCATGCCCATGTGTAATTGCTCAAAACTTCTGTGAGAAGTTTTGTCAGTGCAGCTCTGAATGTAAGTAAAACATTTTAAAGTTATCCATAAACTTCTCTCTCTGCCCACCACGAGCTCTGTACTAGCAGTCTGTCTGTGCTGCAGGCAGTTACAGGAGCAGCAAATTGTGCCCAACAGTGTGAACATGTTCAGTTAATTTGGCCCTTGTAATTGGCTATTGCATGAAGTCAGAAGCAGCCTTCTGACCTAAAATTGAGGAAGAGTTATTAAAATCAGGGAAGGAAAGAATTTGCAGTACTCCTGAAAGCAGATATCAGTGGCTGTGTTACCAATATTCTGATACACTATAATCTGCACAGTCTTAGTTTTACACTGTATATTTTCATATTTGCTGTTTTTCTGTTCCACCCATTCCTCTGTAGGCCAAAATCGTTTTCCTGGGTGTCGTTGTAAAGCACAGTGCAACACCAAGCAGTGTCCCTGTTACCTGGCTGTCCGAGAGTGTGACCCCGACCTCTGCCTCACCTGTGGAGCAGCTGACCACTGGGACAGCAAAAATGTTTCCTGCAAGAACTGCAGCATTCAGAGAGGATCCAAAAAAGTATGTCCAGAGTTATACAACTTCAGGCCTGTTGCCTGGTCCTAGAGGCGTTCTTATATTTTCAAGCCAGAGAATGGAATTTCTTTGCCTTCATACTGTCAAAATGGAAAAGAAAAAAAACCCCAAACCAAACAGCAAGGAAAGGAGTGGTCACTTGTTAGCTTGCTCTTGTGCTGCTGTTAAGTCTATCTACATTTTGTCATGTACCAATTAGTGTGTTCTGTGCAGCAGAGCAGCAGAATATCTCCTTTTCCCTGTTCAGGCTTTGCTTCTTAATTGCAAATAGGCTGCTGTTTTAAGGAGCTCAACAGTCTTTCCCCAGATCAGCATAAAGAAGTTTATCCCAGAGTTTCTTTCTTCAGTTGTTGATTCTAAGGTATAAACTTGTATAGAGTCTACTAAAGTCTTGAAAACCCATTCAGTTCTGGCAAATAAATCAATAAGCCAAAGTTTATTTCTACTCTGAAATGTCTTCTCACAAAATAGTTGATTACTGAGCTAATGAGTGGTGGGCTCCTGGCTGCAGACCTTTTGAGGTTGAAGTCTTTAGTAAATGAATTTTTATGTAACCCCCTCATTTCAAGGTGTCTTGGGGTGGTTAAACTAAAATTTTTAGTAGTTTTCAAATACTTGGTCATTTTTCTTTTACATACATCTTCTGATTCACAAGCTGTAATTTTAGTGTGTGTTTGATCATTAGAAGACTCTGGATTTGTCTGCATTCCTGGAGTTCCAACATATGCATTTAACTAAGTGATACAAAACAAAATGGAAAAAAACCTGAACTCAAATCTAAGCCAGGCATATCAAAACTTCTTGGTTTTTCTATTCCACAGCACTTACTATTGGCACCTTCAGATGTGGCAGGCTGGGGAATTTTTATCAAAGATCCTGTACAAAAGAATGAATTCATCTCTGAATACTGTGGTGAGGTAAGGATGGAGAGCACCAGATATGAGCTTAGTTGGTGAAGTTCTGCACTGACAGGAACCAACCATGGGTGCCATTGTCTGTGACCTGGTACAGGCTGTGACTGCTGTCACTCCTCAGATCCCAGGAGCTACACAGTTGAAATGTCACAAAAATTTTGAAACAGGTTCTTGTGAGAATGAGAGGCTGGAATGTCCTTTTTATCTTAGATGGAATTTCAGTTCAGACATGCTTGGAATTTGGTGGCAAATTATTTAGTATAGTACTGAAAGTCAGTAGGAGCTTTTGCTAAGCTGTATTCTGCAGCAATAAAACCCTGAGTCTGGTATGCTGCCCTGATTTTGAGAGGAGAAGCAATTCTTGCTTTTCTTCTGCTCTGAAAGAGTTTGTGTGCTAAAAGCAAAGCATGGATGTTTGCTAAGTGCAGAATGCTTGCTGAAAACAGTACTTGGTTTGGGAATACTTTGAATCCCAGAGAATAAAAAACTCCCACCTGTCTTTCAAAAGGCTGGGGAGGGGCTGACATTAAGCTGCTGTTGTTACACAATGGAGGAGTGCTTCTCTCTTTTACAAGTGGTGTTTCTTTCAGATTATCTCTCAGGATGAGGCAGACAGAAGAGGAAAAGTGTACGACAAATACATGTGCAGCTTTCTGTTTAACTTGAATAATGGTATGTATGCTTCAGTTGCAACTCTTGGCAGCATAACTAAAGTGTGTATGCTTGGTATTTTGTTCAGCCCTGTTCTTCTGCAGCCTGCAGGCAACAATGAGAACTTATTTCCACACATCTTTCTCTATCAGTGTGTGGATTCATCCTGCTGATAGCTAGTCTTTGGGATTTTTTCTCTAAATGCTGGTTAGCTAGATGTAGTGATGAGCCTCTTGTACAAGAGGAGTAGAACTTCATGGAGTAAAATTATGTGCAGACATTAAGTAGACTAAAGAATGTAAAAAGTGTTGTCTGAAGTAATTTTACTGAATTAAATAATCAGTAATTTATGATGGTAATTGTGTTGGGGGAAAAAAGCCACATGAGGTATGTAACTTACAGACTGCACTGCATCAAGCATAAAATACTGGAAAATAGTTGAAATGAGGAAAAAAACCTGATGCTTTATGTCAGTGTTGACTTAGCATATTTATGGAGCTTGTCCTTGTGGAACAAAGGTAGAGAGGCTTTAGTGAGAAGCCAAGGTGGTGCCCCTGTGGCAGGAGGTAAAGGAAAAGCACAATGTGGAACAGCAGAGTTCAGCCGTTGTAGGGTGGGTGGGCCAGCTCTTCCATGGGGAAGATGTGCAGTTATCCTCTCCAGCTGCTAAGATCCAAGCACACTAGGTGTTAAACTCAAAAATGTGTTTGTAGGTGACCCATCCAACATTTGTGGGGTTTGTTGTTTTTTTCTGCCCCCCATAGATTTTGTGGTTGATGCAACACGCAAGGGCAACAAAATTAGATTTGCAAACCATTCAGTAAATCCCAACTGCTATGCAAAAGGTAAGTTTCACATTTACTTGCTTTTCATCAATGTATGAAATACTGTGAGATATTTCTTTAACGTGCATCTTATCATTATTTCTACTAACATAGCTAATTTCTTTTAAAACAGTTATGATGGTTAATGGTGATCACAGAATAGGAATATTTGCTAAAAGAGCCATTCAGACTGGTGAAGAACTGTTCTTTGACTACAGGTGGGTAGATGGATTTCAGGTGGCATTAGCTTTCAGTATCTGCACAGCTCAGAGTTAATTCCTGTGCCTGCCTGGCCCCTGCAGCCTCAGGTCTCAGCAGCTGAGAAGCAGCACTCCCCACACTGCTTTTGTCAAGCCAGATGCCATAGCAAGACTGATTTGAGCAATGCAGCTGGTTAAGAGCCTGCAAACTTGGAAAAGCAGCTTGTATAGAGCAAAGTGTAGTGACAAACGGGGACAGACTTTCTCTGGTTGGGTTACCTTGGTAGCAGCAAAAGTTAACTCCCCCATCATTCAGAAATAGGCAAGAATTTCAGAGAATTAAATTTCAGAATTCCTACAGACAAATGCTTGCTAAGAATGTGTCCTTATTGTCCCCTACAATCATCTTACTTGGCAAAAAGCAAGCTGTCCACTGGCAATACTGTGTAGGTCAGCCTGGAGAAATGCAGTTGCTTTCCAGTACTGAACATGAATGTCAGGGCTGTGAGAGTCAAGGTGAAAAAGAATGGAATTTTAGTGATTTGTCTCCTTTGATCAAACACATCTGAAAGTAGTTTCTTGTGGGTCAGCAGCATTATGCACCTGCAAATTCACACAAGGAGGAAACACCCCAGCTGGTGGGGAAATGATATATGAGTATTCCAGGCTGTGGTGCCATTCTGTCAGAACAATGAAGCCAAAATGTTCCATGATACTGGCTTTTTGTGATTTTGGTTTTTTTTTTTAATTTCAGATATAGCCAAGCTGATGCCCTTAAGTATGTGGGCATTGAAAGAGAAATGGAAATCCCTTGACACCAGCTACCTCTTCTTTTAAACAAACAGCTGCCTTATCTTCAGGAATTTCTAGTACTGTGGGCAATTTTAGAAAAATACAAATGATGCAATTTGAAATTCTGTATTTGCAAAGTACTGTAACAGTAATTTATAGTAACGAATTTTAAAAAACCAACTTTTTATTGCCTTCTCACCAGCTGCAAAGTGTTTTGTACCTAGGAACTTTTGCAATAATGTGGTGTGGTACATTTTTCAACCTTGAATAAAGGATACTTGAACTTCTTCATTTTTACTGGAATTGAGTTGGAATTTTGTGTCAGCCCCTTGAGAAAGCAATGTGAATTTAACCTGTAACTTCTGTGCAAAGGCAACTCCATACTTGTCTCCTTCTGTTACTCTGGGTCAGGTTTAAGATCAGTGTGAAGATGGAAACAGTGTGGATGGCAGTCAGGGGATTGGTGCTGCAGTGCTTGAGTGAGACAGGGGTGGTCTTGCAGCTTCTCAACTCCCTTGGATACAGCCACATCCAAGTTCTCTGGAGGAATGGCTGCAGCCCAGGAACTCCTGCAACTGCCAGAGTAGCTGTGATTTCTGTGACAAACACTGCTTTCAAGACAAAGCTGTGGTACAAGGTGCCGTCACTGTGGCTTCGAAGCACCAAACTGAATGATAAATACAACAGTAACTACACCTGTGTTAAAGAGTTAAGAGATGCAGAAGAGAAATGCAGTTTTCATCCAGAAACATTTACACTGCAGTTAGATTGTACAGGGCTACCACATTTATTTCTTACTTGCTAGTGGATGGAACTCTAGCTTGTGATGTAGAATACAATGCTCAGGTCAAACCAGCTGGAGTGGGAGGGCAGGCACAGGGTGGCATTATTGCCACACTGAGTGCATGAAATCCTGTCCATGGTGACCAGTTACCTGCTGCACTGAGGGGGCTCCAAGCCTGGGGTTAGTTCAGCTCTTCTGCTTCCACTCTCCATGTACAGCAGGCAGCTGCCTCGTGCCCTCCACCTTGCTGTTGGCCCAAGTAAGAACCAAGAGTTCATGAGGAAAAGAACAGTCCAAAAGTGTAAGCCTGATTTTCTCCCTCAGGTAGAGCACAGCTCCTGCTCTGAAGGATGCACAGTACACAAAGCACTGCTTTAACCAGCCAAGGGCTTTGAAAGGCAGCTCAGAGCAGGTGATTTCTGGCCTTCCAATTAAGAAAGGAGTTCAGGCTGCTTCTTTGTCATCATAGCACACAGATCCTGCTAGAGAAATCTATTAGCCATGACCTTTCTGCAAGAAGGGTTTACAAAAAACAAAACAGCATCTTAGGAAAAGAAATTAAGAGGCATCACTAGTTCCATTCTTCTAAATTTCCAAAAGCAACTCTGAGCAGCAAGATGCTTCTATTGCCCCTAATGGCAATCTTTAGCTCTTTCAGAACAGAAATAGCAAGTACACAAAATCTCAAGTGGAGATGACACCCCTCTCCTAGTACTGCTCAGATTTTTTTTTTAACCCAGAGTTCAACTGTAACCATTTCCCTCGAGAGAGAAACATTAGCAACACAAAACCTGGCTCCTTTCCTGTGAGAAGAAACAAGTGAACAAAATCACAGTTTGCATCAAGGGTAAAATGGCTACAGAAGTTCTTTTCAGGATGAAGATTAGAAAATATAGATTACCAATAGTGAGAGCTGGGAGGATGGCAGCATTTTGCTTCTAGCATATGGAATGCCAATACTCATTTCATAAAATTTTGTGAAAAGAATGGAATGAAGCCTGGTCAATCAAGGTATGTCTAGTAACACTTTAAAGTATTTTAATTCTCATCTCAGGTTATATTTAATGGGAATTGTTCTTCAGGAACACACTCAATTTTCTGCTTCACTCCAGTCAAAGAAATGGGCAGCCTAAACCTCCTTTGTTCTCGGCAGCACTTATGCAAGGGTGATGCACTTTATAGCACAATGAGCAATATTAAAACCAGCTCCAAGTTCAGATGACCAAGCATTGCCACAAATATTTTGAGCATTTTCTGTTCTGCATATCTTGTGAAATCATCACAAATTTATTTTCAAAGTGCAGACATTTCCTCTTCAAAAAGAAGTAACATGCACAGATAATGATAGATGACAGTATCTTCAGAGAACAAAATGTTCTTAAAGCACCAGAAAATGGGGAGGAAAAGCAAAACGAATTTCTAATAGCTTTCATAACCATTATACCTTTTATTTACATTTAGAAAGATAAGTCATGAAACTTAAAACAATAAAACCAAATGCAACTTGTACAGAAATCTTTTAAATTTTTTTTATTATTTATCACACATTAAAAAATGAAACACACTATACAAATGGTTTTTCATAGCAGATTACACATGGGTCCATTCAGACTCGCTCTCCAAGTGCTGCCAACATGTATAAGTGCTGCCTGTGATGGCAGCTGTTTATCATATAGCCAATGTATTGATTTAAATGCAGTAGCATGCAACCCTTAAACGAGAAGGGTCTGATTCCTTTCTGTTCTTAAATTAGGTTAAATGGCATTGGTGTCCATATTTACATACTTGAAATGTATCAATCCTGAGCAGTTCTGATGTAAATCTGAGACTGGCTGATGGAGTCCTGGTCTCAGTCATTAAAAAGGGAGGTCCAAATGGCAGCAGGGTGGCTGCTATGAAGTTCTGTCGCTTTCATTCTTTCCATCACATACCTACTTGCCGAGTGTCACACAGTCAGGTCATTGCTAATAAAAATGCTAAGCCAAGTAACTGTAGGTGTCCTTCTCACCATCTACACGTTCCAAGTACTCCTTCTCAATGAGGATGTCGATGCATTTCTGTGGGAGGAACAGAACAGAGGTAAGCTGTGGGACATGGGCATAAAAGCCCTCTCTGGGGTTGCTCCAAACTTTGATTCTGACCCCCCAAGGGAGTTCCCTGGCAAACAGGATGGGAATAGGCAAAGGACACAAACCACAGCAGTTCACTCTCCTCTTTGTGACCACATCCAAGCAGAAGGCTTTGCTAATCCACTAAACTGAACTGCACTTACTGGATGTCATTCCAGGGGTGTGATTGGGAAATCATCAGCATGCTGAACAACTTCATAGTAAGACAGCAAATAAAGAATTACACCAAGATGCAGAGAGCTTATGTAAGGTCATGAAAGAGCAGCAGCAGCAGTGAGGGGCTCTCTGTGTAACTGCCCTGATGCCAGTTTATGCAACTGCTCTCACTGCCTGTCCTTTGCCTCACCTACAGCTTGGTTGTGGATATAAAACTGCTGGTGAGCTCACTTAAACAAACTGATGAAGAAATTAATATACATAAATGAATAATTAATATAATCAATATAATTATGAGTAAATAATTAAATACAATGCCCCCTTCCCCAACATTTTTACTGTAAAGGAAAGCAGGAAACTTATTGAGTTAACCCCAAGGCTGACTGTTGTCCCACAACTGGGAGAGCAGGAACAAAAGGTAAGTCTGGATCAAGGGCAATGGTAAGCTGACACTGATGTAAAAAAGATGCAATCCAGATACTATTTTACCACCACTGCCAACAATGTGAAAGATGCATAGTACCCTAAGAGAAATGCAATATTTCTGGTTAAAATATTTCCTACTCGCAACTCAAAAAAAATCTGTCCTTGCCCATCCCATCTCCATAGCTCTCCTTTTTAATTCAGAAACAAGTGTTTTGTCTGTGTAGATATCCTCCTCACCACCTGGAATCCAGGTTCAGAGATGTGGGTCTCACATACCTTAATTACAGGAACTCGTGGCTTGAACCTTGAGGACAGCTGTGTTAGCACTTCTCCAAGCAGTTGCTGGTGTTTTAGAACCTTCCTCATTTTCATGATTCTCACAATAGCAGCCTGCACAGCAAAGTTGGGAAGGTGTGTTTATGAGCACAGTACCTGTCCCTCTGTGCAAAGCCATGTCACTCCCCTAGGTGACGTCTGCCCCTGCAGAAGCACCAGCACCACCTCGAGCACCAGACAGGAGAAGCTTTGCCCAGTGTCAGCTACTCACAGACTTCAAGGACTCAGAGTCTCCACAGCACACAGGCATCAAAAGTGGTTTTGACACATGAATTTTTAGAACTGTGCTTACAGTCAGTCAGTCATAATAATAATAGCACCAACTGGTAACAAGAGCCACACAAAACTGCTTGTGTAGCAAAAAGCCTTCTTTATATATTTAACCTTACTGTGACACTGTCTTAGTGGTACTTCTGTATTTCCTTCTGCCTCTCAAGTGGATTCCAAATGAACTGATACAAAACCAATGCTGATTTCATACTACCTGGGTATTACTATTTTTTTACTATTCAGTTTTCACCAAGGACAAGGTCTGGTGAACATGTATTCAAGGAACCCAAACACTCATCAACATCAGGTTAGAACAATGTCAATGAACACATCCTGTCTGTAGAAGTGCCTTCCTCCAGTTTCTACTACAGACTCACCTTTAAGAATATTTTAAATAATTTTTTTGAACTCTAATCTAGTTAGAGCAATGTAATTGTTTTCTAGTAAAAGTTAGGAAAACCCTACAGTGAGCTTCATTAAATTATTACACAGATGTGATTGAGTTCATGACAGCATTCTGCAATAAAACTCACCTGAATCAGTAGTTTCCTGTCTTCCTCTATATTTTTGTGTGTAGTTTCTTGCTCCTGCTTCTGTTCAGTCTTCATTGGCACATTGATGTTTACCCTTAATTTTTTGCTGTAAAGAAAAGCAAAAATTAATGAACAATTAGACTGTTTAAAAACCTAAGAAACAGAAAAAACACCAAACAAAACCCAACTCCAAAATAAAAGCCACAGCACCATAGTTACTTTACAACAATACAGGACTTTGATTGTTCTGAAAATTTTAGATGCTTGTATTCAAATTAAAAAAGAATTAAAATAAAAATAAAAAATGCCCATAACCAACCAATGAAACAAACTAACTTTCTGGTATCTCACAGCTTACTAAATCCATCCTAGTGATCTGTGTAACTAGCACTGTACAATTGCACTGTATTTAAAATAGTTCTGTGTGTAGTAAGAAGCTTGGAGTCAGTGAAGGGGACAAAGGAAGTCAATGGAAACAGAATCTGATTTACAGAATTTCTGATTTACAGACAGGATTCTGACTATAATGTGGAGAAATCTGTTTGCTCTGTGGAACTGAGCTCTGCCTTTCTTTCACAGACTCCCTGGCACTGACAGCTGTGCTGAGGTGAGCCCACTGCCACATGAGGCCACTCAAGACAAGGTCCTGTGTCACAAGTGTGGAGCAAA